GCGCTCGACCATGTCTCAAGAGAGATTAAACGTTTTGGCATTGATTTCGATTGAGAACGAGTTTCTTGATTATAAAAGTCTCATAGATGAATTTTCTTCTAAAAATGCTAGAAGGTCAATGTTTAGAAAATAGTAATGCGTTGTTTTTTTTTTTGTTGAAAAGTTGTTTATAACAGTTTTACTGATTTATTTGATTACTAATGAGTGATGAAGACATTATTTTTGTGGTAGTGAATTTATGAGATGTTTTTTAGCAACTTTATGTTTTGAATTAGTGGTAGAAAATGTAGTTAATAATATTTACAAGAAATTTTTGTGGGGCCTCATTTTAGTTTTTGCACAAGGCCTCCAAAATGTCAGGGTCGGGCCTGCATTCGATGCACAAACTGTACATTGTTTAGTTGTAGAACGTAGGTTAGGTTTCATATTTTTTTTTCGGTTATTAATTAAAAAGACTATATGTATAAAAACTAAGCCTAATCAAGAATATGTTAAAATTATCGTAATAAACAAAAGATGCATGGTTGTTCTTTTAAGGCTCAATTGAGAGAAAATAATAGTTTAACTTATTTGAAAATTATACAAAAGAACATAGTCTGAAAATTAAAACTTTATACACTATGGGCCGAAGAGCCCTGAAAGAGTAGACGACCCATGAAACAATAGTTCATTGCTCGAAAGAGTAGTCAATTTTTTGTTACGTTGACCGTAAGTTTTTTTTAAGAAACGTAAGGTCATAGTGGTTATTATGGGATAAATATTATTTTTTGATTAAAAATAGATAAATAATTAGGAATTATGGCTAATTTAATAATTTTTCTATATTTGAAAACCATGTCTGGAAAATATTCTTTTCAAAAACATCAGGCACGTATACCATACATTTCCGGAGACAAAACAAAAAACATTTAATTGCTAACATTAGAAAAAGGCATCGTCGCTATCAAATTCTCTTTTTAATTAATTGTCCTTCAACGTCATGCTAGTGGCCATGAAATAATATACTTTTTAATAATTTTCGAATATAAACAGTTACTATTTATATAATTTTATTTGAAATAAAATATTTAAAAAAATCTTCTTAGATCTTTTTGACGATGTGAATGTATGTTTCCTTTTGAGGCAATTCCCACAATTTATAAAAACTTAAGTGGTTATTTTACTTATTTGCTATTTTATTTATATTATTTGTCTCCTATATTTAATAATAGTTTATATAAACCATAATCATATTTGTATACAAAACCTATATATTTTTTCTAGTTAATTTAGTAATTATATAAAAAGAAGAGATTTTTAGTTTTAGAAAGTAAAAAAAAAAAAAATAGATATCTCAAAGTATTTTTTTTATATATTTTTTGGGTTTTTTAGGTTTATGGATTTTCTATCGATCATTCTTTAATATATATATATATATATATATATATATATATATATATATATATATATATATATATATATATATGGGTGGAGGAACCAAGGAAACTATTAAGATAGTTGGATCAAAAAATTAACAGTCATTGGATTTGAGTTGTAAAAGTGTGAAAAACAATAGTGTGCAACTGATTAACCAAACACGGAAATTAAGGGGGCATTTTCGTCAACCTAAAATTTATTAACTCGCACAGTGAATTAACAACGTTAGTTCATCTGTATCACATCTCAGTGAAATCGATTTTACCCTCTCACTGAAAGCGATCTTTTAATTCACCGACGAACATCGATTTCAAACGCATCGTCGACGACGATTCAGTCAATATCCACAGTCAGTCTTGCCGAAAAGTTCGTAAAAATGAATCTAGAAGGTATATTTGATTGCTATTCATTTCCGATTATCTCATTTAATGCATTTTAAACATTAAATTTTCCGATTGATAAATTTCAAAACCAAAAATCTAAACTATTTGTTACATTATGTATTCAATGAATCTGTGAATACGATTTTATTAACAAAATCGTCTTAGACTGATTTGAAACCTTCGGATGATGAACTTTTAAGAATTTGTATATATAACGAAAACCTAATGATTTATATTCTTCAAATCGATACAGAAATCATGAATATCTATATTACAAACCGCAATTTCCTAAAACTATGTGAATCTAACTCGAATATGAGTTTATTAACTAAATCGAAACCCTAATTTCATGAACTTTTGTGAATTTTTATAATTACGAAAAACCGAATGATTTAAATTTCTTCAAATCGATACAGAAATCATGAATATCTAATTTACAAACCGTAATTTCCTAAAAGTTTGTGAATTTAAGTGGTTTCTGAGTTTATTAATTAAACTGAAAAACTAATTTCACATTTGAATTCACAGTGTGCTTTGTGATTTACATTTGATTATTACAAAAATATTCAATGTTTCTGAGTATTACATTTTTTGACAATTCACAAAGTGAATCATGATTACATATCAATTTAACATATCATTGATTCAAATTGTGAATTCACAGGGTGCTTTATCATTTACATTTGATTTTTTCATCTTGTGCAAATTCACATTGTGCATCTATGTTTAATTGATATTGTATCTCTTATTGTGCTTCTCATTGTAAATTTATAATGAGTTGCATTGGTAATGTTTTGATTTACACTGAATTGACAATGTGAATAAATGTTATGTTAAATTCATCTGTAATCCTGATTCACATTGTGAATTATATAAATAAATCATAACTTTCATATCATGAAACTGATGTTTGAATTAATTTGTTAATCAAAAACAGGAAATGAAGAAAAGATCAACGAAAAAAAGGATAATAAGAAAAGAATGAAATGGACAAGAAATCTAAGAGATGTTCTACCTTTAACTACAAGTGAAAAAATTGAAGATATTCAAGATAAAAAAATAGGTTAGAACATTCACATTCAGATTAAAATAACTAATTATCTAATCATTTACTACACACTTATTAAAAAACCTAATTCACAATGTGAATCTTTGATGTAACTCATATCCTCACAGATTCACAATGTGAATCTCTTAAAAAAAATTGCAAGTTGATTACTACTTTAACTTGTTTTCACTATGCACACAATACATGAAAAGATTCACCATGTGTATGTGTACATCACTTGGTGAACCTCAAACTGTTTTGGTATGAAACGTAGAGATTCACATTGTGAATCTTCGATGTACCCTCAAATTCTCAAAGATTTACAATGTGAATCTCTTATAGAATCTTCTCCAAGTTGATTACCACTTTCGCTTGTTTTCACTATGCACACAATACGTGAAAATATTCACCATGTATATATGTACACTAATTGGTGAACCTCAAATTGTTTTGGTATGAAATGTAGAGATTCACATTGTGAATCTTCGATGTACATCTGACATTCTCAAAGACTTACAATGTGAATCTCTTGAAAATATTTTCCAATTTGTTTACCACTTTCACTCGTTTTTACTATGCCACAATACGTGAAAAGATTCACCATGTGTATGTGTAAATCACTTGGTGAACCTCAAACTGTTTTGCTATAAAATGCATATATTCACAATGTGAATCTTCGATTCATATCTCACATTCACACAGATTCACAATATGAATCTCTTAAAAAAATTTGCAAGTTGATTAACACTTTTGTTTGTTTTCACTATGCACAAAATAAGTGAAAAATTCACCATATGTATGTGTACATCACTTGGTGAACCTCAAATTGTTTTGGTATGAAATGTATAAATTCACAATGTGAATCTTTGATGTAACTCATAGCCTCACAGATTCACAATGTGAATCTCTTAAAAAAAATTTGCAAGTTGATTAACACTTTCGTTTGTTTTAACTATGCACACAATACGTGAAAAGATTCACCATGTGTATGTGTAAATCACTTGGTGAACCTCAAATTTTTTTGCTATAAAATGCATAAATTCACAATGTGAATATTTGATGTATATCTCACATTCTCACAGATTCAAAATGTGAATCTCTTAAAAAAAATTTTGCAAGTTGATTGCCACTTTCACTTGTTTTCACTATGCATACAATACGTGAAAAGATTCACCATGTGTGTGTGTAAATCACTTGGTGAACCTCAAAATTTTTTGCTATAAAATGCATAAATTCACAATGTGAATTTTTGATGTATATCTCACATTCTCACAGATTTAAAATATGAATCTCTTACAAAAATTTTGCAAGTTAATTGCCACTTTCACTTGTTTTCACTATGCACACAATACGTGAAAAGATTCACCATGTGTTTGTTTACATAACTTGGTGAACCTTAAACTGTTTTGGTATGAATTGCAGAGATTCACAATGTGAATCTTCGATGTATATCTCACATTCACATATATTCACAATGTGAATCTCTTAAAAAAAATTTGCAAGTTGATTACCACTTTCGCTTGTTTGCACTATGAACACAATACGTGAAAAGATTCACCATGTGTATGTGTACATCAATTGGTGAACCTCAAACTGTTTTGGTATGAAATGCATAAATTCACAATGTGAATCTTCGATGTATATCTCACATTCTCACAAATTCACAATGTGAATCTCTTTAAAAAAATTGCAAGTTGATTACCACTTTCGCTTGTTTTCACTATGCACAAAATAAGTGAAAAGATTCCCCATGTGTACGTGTACGTACATCACTTGGTGAACCTCAAATTGTTTTGGTATGAAATGCATAAAATCACAATGTGACTCTTCGATGTAACTAACTTATAGCCTCACAGATTCACACTGTGAATTTCTAAAAAGTTTTTGCAATTTGATCATCACATGTTGAATTATATATTTTCTTGACATGTATTTCATAATATTACTTATATTTTTGACGTTGACATTAAAAAATTTCACATTGTGTAGTTGAAGGTTCAAAAAAATATACCAAAAACACCGCAAGGAGAACCGTGGTGGAAATTGTTAATAAATTAAAAAATATGAAAATGTAAAGACTCGTGATGAAAACGTTGAAAAAGAAAAAAACTTTAGAAGGTGATAAGATTCAAAAAAAGAAAACAAAAAAAATAATGAAACAAGATGAATCTGTTTTGAAGACACTTGAAAAGAAAACAACACAAGGTTAGTATTTATAAATTTATAATTTACTTTAATATATAAAATCAGTTATCATTAAATTTATTTTTTTAAAAATGAACAGAAATCACACACAGTCCAAGATTTCAAAAAACAAAAACGAAAAAGTCGATGAAGCAAGACAAATCTGTTTTCAAGACACTTGAAAAGAAAACAACTCAAGGTTAGTATTTATAAAATTATAATTGAATTTGATATTATAAAATTAATTCTCATTAATTTTGTTAAAACATGAGCAGAAATCAGACAGAGTCCAAGACTTAAAATGATTGAATACAAAAAATCTGTGACTCCTATTAAAATTGATGATAGCCTTGTAAAGAAAGAATATGATGAAAAAGCAACAAGTTTGTTTTTTACTATTCACATGTTTAATTTACAAAGTTATAAACAAATTCACATGTTTATTTTATGTATTATATTATATTTTGCAAAACAAATTCACATGTGAATTTGGTGTATTGTTAGTTATTTTATAGTATATATGTTATAGTATAAGAAGCTTATGAAAATTATTGACTAACAGGAAAAATAAAAAGAAAAACAAATGAATCAGAGATAAAAATTAAGATTCTCAAGACAAAGACTGTGGAAGTGGTCAAAGAAAAAAAAGGCAAAAGTGCCAATAAATCCAAATGACAGAGTATCTTTGAGAACAAGAATGAGCCCAAAGAAGTTTTATGATATCGTTAAATCTTTAAACAAAGAACATAAAAAAGTTGTTAGAGAAATGGGATTGGGATCTTTGCTGAGATTTGCAACCAATTGAATTTCTAGGAAATTGGCACGTTTTGTTATGAATTCATTCAATCCATCAGATATGAAAATGCATCTACCTAATGCAAAGATAGACATAACACCAACTATTGTTCATGATTTGCTTGGAATTCCTCTAGGTGGAAAAGATATATATAACACTGATCAATGTGAAGGAAAATAATTAATAGATTGGAAGCAACAGTACAATTTCAAGGCTATGAGACCATCAGATGTTAAAGAGAGGATTAAAGAATCATCAGATTCAGGGATTATTTTCAGAACAAACTTTCTATTACTATTTGTTAATACCATCTGTGAACATAATAAGCCTGGAACTTGTAAAACAACAGTATTGCCAGATTTGTTAGGCAAAACACCTCTGAGAGAAATTGATTGGTGTGGTTTTATAACCAATTGCTTGAAAATGTCAAAGACGACGTGGGATGAAACCGATAGAGGAAACTACTATTGTGGGCCACTTCTTTTATTATTGGTAAGGAAATTTTTTATAAGTAACACTTTTTATTTATATTATTATAAGAAAACTAATTAATCATAATTTTGTTTACAACTTATTTGGAGTTTATGAGAAATGATAAGAGTGAAAAAAGACAAATACATGCACTACATTTTTGGGATTATGAGATGATGGTGAAAAGGGAAAAAGCAGAGTTAAAGAGTGGTGACTTTGGAACTTTGGAATGGAATGATGATGTTATAGAAAATGATGAAGAATCTGACACCGATGAAAATGAATATATGAAACTCGATGTAAGTTAATAATCTATATAATTAACAAAAATTGTGAAACTGTATTACATATATATGTTATAAAGTTGTAGTTAAGATGAATTAATAATGTAACACCCAAAAAATTTAAGCCAATATAAACTTTTAAAAACATTTCAAACCATTAAAAATCATTACAACTTTGTTTTCAAAATGTATAATATCAGAGTTTTCCCAGAAACATAGACAAAACATGAGGAGCTGTATGATCACGCCTTCGCCTTGCCGCGATCCCCTGATGTACCTGAAACAATAAACTGAAACTGTAAGCCCGAGAGCTTAGTGAGTTCCCCCAAAATACCGATACACATACAGTCCACATAACCATGTCAGCAATAACATATCATAACAAACTGAACAGCATGTAATGGGTCCACAGCCTTACAGACTGGATTACCCCTGGGCCCACAGTGTGAGTCTGGATTGCCTTACGGGCCCACATCTCACATATGGCTTGCCATCGAGCCCACAATACGAGTCTCCCTTAGCCCGTAACTGGAATGCTCCCGAGCCCATAGTACGAGTCTCCCTTAGCCCTTTACTGGAATGCTCCTAGGGTTTGTTGGCTACCGCACGGAGCAGTACAACCTCAACCCATCCCACATAACATATAACATACAACATAACCACTGAGCATGCAATAATCATATAACATCACAGGTAGTCCTACAGGTCTACCTAACTGGCATAGCCACTAGTATGCAGCACTAACTCATACTCAACATCTAACACTGCTAGGATAACATATCCAATGGGTCGGCCTTGGTGCCTTAGACCCCTTAGTATAGTGAGGATAACTCACCTCACAACTGTCGTCTGAAACTAGAAAGCTCAACTCCCGGATCACCAACATGAAACCCCCCCCCCACCTATAGCTCCCATAAAACCCTTTTTCATAAGTTTCCATATTACCAAAATATCCTCAGAAGTCAACTAGTCAACTCTTGGTCAAAGTCAAAGTCCACAGTCAAAGTCAACAGTCCATGTTGACTCGACTTGTCGAGTGCAGTTCACCGACTCGTCGAGTACTTCCTGAACTCGAGAAGTCGTGAAATCCTTGGTTGGCTCGTCGAGTTCCCTATAACTCGCCGAGTCCATGCGTGTTCAATGGTTTGGGAGAAACCCTATCCGACCCGCCGAGTCATTCGACTGACTCGCTGAGTCCAAGGCATTCTTCATCTGACTCGCCGAGTTGTTCATCCAACTCATCGAGTACATGACTATCTTTATATGACTCGCCGAGTCGTTCATACAACTCGCCGAGTCTCTTCAGTCCTTTATTCATACAGACGATTTTTAAGCCATGCTAAGGCTCCAAATTGTAGATCCAGCTTCCTAATGCACGTTTATCACGTAAACTTGCAAACTTTACGTGCATGCAAGGCTCTAATGACTCATAATGCCAAATCTAAACTTGAAATGGGGTTTAACTCAAAAGGAAGGGTTCATACTTGTTGAAGCTGGAAACTTTATGGACTTAGGACTCAAAAGAGGTTCAGATCTGAAGTTTCAACTTCAGATCTAACTACCATACCATAATCCCTTCATGATTAGCTAAAGAAAGCCCTAGTCTTCACATATGAATGATTCTAGAAGAAAAGAGGTCAAGGTAACAACTTATTACCTCAAAAGCATGCCCAAGCTGAAGTAGACTCTGGATCCACACGGAATCCTTGATGCTAGCCTCTTGATCTACATGGTTCCTTCACAAAAATCACTTCTCAAAGCTCCAAAACACTCTCCAAGCTCACACTCACGGAAATTAGGGTTTCTGGCTCTCAAGGGGTGATAGAGGACAGTGGGAAGTGCCAATGGTAGAATATATAGGGTGCAAAAACCCTGAAACTCAGGGTTTCCACTGCCAGCTCCTACTCATCGAGTCCCCCATGCCGACTCGCCGAGTCGCTCATTAAATGACGTGTCCTGGCCCGCTGCTACTTGACGAGTCACAACGTCAACTCATCGAGTAGACCTTAAAACATGAAATCTAAATGGAATAATAATGATACCTGACGGTTGGGATGTTACACATAAAGTGATTCACATTGTGAATATAAATGTGTATTTTATTACTTTTTCTATAATAAATTAACATAGTGAATATGTAATTTAATAAAATGCATTAAAAGTGTGATACCTCATCAAGGCATTCATATTGTGAAATTGTAAATTATTATTGAAAAAAGTTAAAAAATTCATTGTTATTGACATTTTTTATTTCATTTTGTAGGAATTGGTATTCAAAGCAAAAAAGAAATATAAAAAACTAGTGAACGATAAAATGAAGTTTAGAAAGTTAATTGAGTTTTCAACAAAAAAATTCACAGAAGGCGATGAGTTGAAAGATATGAAGAAAGTCTTTCAACAAGAATTCATTTATAAAAGTCAAAATGAAGATGAAACAAATGTGATGAATGAAGATGATGCAAAAAGTGAGAGTAATGAAGATTGATAAACGAATGCGAATAAGGTGGATGGGAATAAGGGTGATATACATAAAGATACGGATGTAGAAACTACACCAGCAAAAAAAAATAAAAAATCGACCAATCATGGTAACACCAGGAAATTTGTACAATGATCCAATAGTGCATGAGATTGCTGACTCTATTCAATGTATTTTAAATTTTGATGATTATGATGATTTTTTCAATGTAAAAAGTTTTGGAGAACAAATAAATAAAAAACAATAATAGATGATAAAAAAAAGAAAAAAAAAATACTAGAAAATCATCAATGCCTAGCTTTTCACTTGGACTTGGTCTTGGTCTAACACAAGAGTTTCAAGAGATGAAAGCAGTGAAGACGAACAAGAGAAGAAAGAAAGAAAAGATGAAAAACTTGATGAAGAAGAAAGTTATGATTCAGAAGAAACAGAATGACAATAATATCTTGGGAATTGAAGATCATCTAGAAGGAAAAAGAGATGTAGAAAAAAGATTAAAAAAACCATCACTGAAGGTATCTTCTCCTTATAATCAAAAAGAGGTTTGTGCATCGAAATTTGTAGATCCAGATGAAGTAAAAGTATCAGATAGAATTTTTTTCCCGACTGGGTAATAGTAGGTAAAAAATTAATGTTATCTTTTCTTTAAATATAATAGTATATAATAAAAATATAAATTAATTTTCTATTAACAGCTTTTTTGTTTTATTTGATTACAAAATTAAGTGAGAAGGTATTTCAAACTAAGAGAGCTTATGTGCTTGGAAGATGAATGATTGAAACAATGCATGCAGGATTATGGATACATACACATGTCATTGATGCTTGGACTGATGTTTTAAACTATGAAGAAAAGCTTAAATCAAATTCTGCAGTGAATTGGTATTTCTTTGATACATCAATGGTGGTAAGTTAATTAAAAATATATATATCATGATAATGTTGATAATATAATAAATAAAATTTTTAATAGTTTTGAATAAGTAATAAAATTCACATAGTGAATCCTATTATAATTCACAATGTGAATAATTTTAAAATTAAAATTTACCTTATTGTGAATTTAACAATTTACTCTTTAAAGTTTAATGTATATTTAATTTTTTTTACAGTGACAGTTCATATTTGACAAAAATATCCCTTTGATTAAAAGATCTGATAAATTTGAGTCAAATATCAAAGATGCAATGAAAAAGGACAAAAACTTCTGACATTTGAAAAAGTTCACATGGTAATAAATTGTTCTTTTTGTTGAATATATTACATCTTTTAAACAAAGTTTAACAATTTAAAATATTAAACAGGTGTTTTTCCCAGTTCATAAAAAAAATCACTTTTACATCATCTGCATAAACTTAGAGGAACCGGCGGTTGATGTCATTGACAATAGGAATTCAGTTGCAAAGTTTTCTAGAGCTTATCGTGATGCACCTAATGAATTGGTAAAAATAGTAAATTTACATTCTAAATATAAGTATTAATTGACTGATAATTTGAATAAAATAATAATTATAGAAAATGACAATTTCTTTTTTGCAGAAAATACTTTTTAGTAGGTACTTGATGAGGGTCAATCACAAATCAGCTTTAATTATGGAGGGTGTTGAACCAGAAAGGGTGAACATGAATTGGTGAATGAGGGATAATCATGTTGACTGTGGAGTTTTTTGCATGCGTCATATGGAGACATATGTGAGAGATAAAACAGTAAATTGAACATGTGGGTTGCTAAAATAATCAAAACAACAACAAAGTGTGTTAATCGATTTACGCATTAAGTATTTGAAAAAGATACTATTGAGTGACGCAAACACATACATGTCAAAAATCATTACACAAACTGCTATGTTTGCAAAAAAGACTAATGAAGAAACACAAGATTTGCTCAATAAGGGATGGGAAAAAAGGGGAGAAAGGATATAGTGCTTCAAGGATTGGAAAAAGAAGTGTAAAACTTAAAACTTAGTTTTCTATTCATAATTGGTATAAGTTTAGATGCACTTTAATTTCTTTAAGAACATATACATGCTTGTTATGTTACAATTTGATGCAAGTTTCTATATCAAATATAATGAACTTTACTAATACTTAAAATATATTTATATTTTCATGTGAATGTCTACATGTATGTTATACAATTACATGTTTTATTAAAGATATGCTATTGGTGTGTGTGTGGGTGGGTGGGTGGGGGGGAGTGAGTATATTTCTACTTTGAATAAATAATTGAAAGTACATTGTCATTTCATACATTTACTTCATTTCTTTTGGTCTAAATGATTAAATGTTAATGTAATAACTATACAATAGATGTAGAAAATTTACATTGTTTATATAAAGTAAAATTAACCTTGTGAAAATTTTATATGTGAGATTCACAATGTGAATTACAGTACATATTACAACATGTATATTTTATATGTGAGGTTCACAATGTGAATTACGGTACATATAGATCATTAGAACAATTAATAGTTGAGCTTCACAATGTGAATTAAATTACATAAAGACAATCTTTAACATGAACATTTTATATGTGAGATTAACAATGGTAATTAATATACATAAATTAAATCATTAGCATGAAAATTTTAATAGAAAACATTCAAAAACTAACAATAAAAAATTATCTTTAACAAAAAACAATAAATTCGAAAAAAATATATTCTACTATTAGAAATAAAGTCTAAAACAATGAATATCAAAATTAACATGAATATTTCAACATTTCTATCCATTGAATGATCATTATAAAAATCAAATCTTATTTTAGTAGTCTTAAAAAAAAAATAGAAACACTCAGCCTTCTGTAACCTCAGATTCAAAATCAGACATCTTTAACCTCAAAATGCAACTCCTAGCATTGTGATTTGGTTTATGACAAAAACTGCACAACCTAGAACCATTTTTAGATGTGTCAGTCACATTCTCTCTAATGCTCTTGATTCTTTTACCACTGACCCATCCCTTGTTTCTGATCCCCTGTGGATTATTAATGTTGATAACATCAGGTACTGCAGCTCCAATAATTTTTTCAATGTGAACTGATCTACTCGAAGATGCCCTTGATGAGGTACATAAAGGAATACCACTATCAACCTCCTGAAGTTGCTTTATATATTTAGCCAACTCATCCTCATTATTTTTTTTCTTGTTAATGGACAAACGAAGAATAGCATACGCATCTTGAATCAAACATTCATTTTTACTGCGTTTATGAGGATACAAGTACTTTTTTCTCAACAATCCATCAGCTGTGATATCTTTTCCCCATCTCCTCAAAATGAAACTTGATGGAATTTCATCATACTCTTTCATATTTAATATGAAAAAATATGACGACATAACAATCCTTCCTGACAAAAAGCATGCAGCTACAACTGATGCTAATGCTATCACCCATTCTACTAAATACAACCTACAAAATTATCATTAATAAACAAATTAATATGTTAATAAAAATTCTATCTCATAGCATTCAATAAAAATTATACAAATTAACATTGATTCACATAATTAATCAATAAGAAATTAGAAATCATAATACTATAATATAAATATGTACTTCGAATCAAATTCACAAAAAAAATAAGTATTCCATACTAATCTAATGAAAAGTACAAACCAATTTATAACTCTATAAGAATTCACACTGTGAATTGGCAAAACATCCTACATTCACAGTGTGAATTTTTAAACTACATTTTATATTTAATAAAATCTATTAGGGCAAAGAGACATACCTTGTAACGAGTATTAGGACAATGAGAAGGAAGACTATTTCGATAAAAATCAGCAGAATCTTCATCCTCATTCACATTTTTATCAATCAACATTTTTTTCTTCTTATCTCTCAAAACATAAACTTCACTTTCATCTTCAATAACTACAGATTCTTGAACACAATAAATGTCACACCCCCAGCCATCGGCGGAAACACCGGGTGATGTAACATCATTATTCGTATCACAGTTATATAACATTCATTGAACAGTACTAAAGAAAATACATACCTTTATTGATAACTGAAAGTTACATAACTGTTTTTCTAGAACCTATTACATAATATCCGACTATGGCATACTTCTTAACGAACAGAAAGGTAATAGTAAAACTTCTCCTGTTCGAAAACATACCAGCTTTTCGAGTTCCTGAAAACACATGCATTTTAAAATACGTCAACATAAAGTTGGTGAGTCCACAGGTTTTGACTCCATAAAATAATACATTTTCTACGTTCAAAAGTATAGTTTTGAAAGTATCATTTTGACTCTCCAACATTTAGTACGTATTTTAGGCACAATATACTTTACTTATCAATTAAGTGTTATGCCTAAACATTCCTTGAGCCTAAGGTATAAGTAGGGGGAAACTTATACTTAACATTAATACTTGTATACGACAAAGTATAATGTTTCTAACTATTTGCTACCATGAGCCTGTAACCGCTGCTATGACATAATACCTCTGATAAAATACACTCATGATTTCCATGAGAAATAACACACTCATGATTTCCATGAGAAATAACACCCATGATTTCCATGAGAACAACACCGTACGCTTCATCGACGCCGGAACAATAACAGGGTAAAAGGATAGTTCGTCACTTGCTTATGGTTGACTGTAGCTAACAGTCACAAGTGGGGTGGTCAACCCGTATACTAATTATACATGACTTCCTCGCTCACACGGGATTAACGGTTACAGTTCAGAGGATTTCCGCTAAGATCCCCAATCTTAGTTGATGAATACAATTACTCATGTAGACTTTGATGGCTTCCTATAACTCTAATAACAAAAGCATTTTCATGTCTAAAACCCTAAGTTACTAGACTATGCTTTTAAACAATACTCCTAACTTCATAACATTTAGGCAGTATAACAGCTATATCTTGAAGTAAAACCAGGTTTTATCTTGACATAAAACCAATAATAACAACACATAACGTTCCTAGTTTTATCTTGACATAAAACCAATAATAGCAACATATATTATAACTTAACATATAGAATTTCCGAATATAACTTCGGAACTATATCGAACACAACATATATATAGAATCCTAAGTATAACTCAAGATCTACATTAGTAAAATAACATGCTGACAAGTTGATAATAGTTGTATATATTCAAAATATTATATTTAGAACAACTATACCCCAACTATTATAACTATATACTATCATATAGACATAATAGTAACGTATATATAATATTTAGCATGCGTTTCCCCCAAAATATTAGAAAGTGGGGCCGTGAAACTCACCCTAGTAGCGTGATTTTATGTAATCTAAGCAGAAATGGTTATCGTACAAGGTCGTCGGGGCTCGGGATGCAAGAGGGCCTCAGCAAAGGAGAGAAAGGGAAGAAGTTTAGGTGTAAGAATGGCTGAAGTCGGACCTGCTATTTATAGTAAGGATTTTAGAACCTCACGTCGTGAGTTTTATAAGGCTCACGTCGTGAGTCCTGCATGCTCATCCCGTAGACTTGCCATTTGCGTCCCTAGCTTCGGAAGGTGGCCATGTGACTCCTCACGTCGTGAGATATCCATGCTCACGTCGTCAGTTTGGATCTTATCCCCTCGCAGCCTCGTCACACACCTTCTAGATTCCGAGATATGGATAAATGACTTCTCACATCGTGAGTTCTATGCTCACGTCGTGAGCTCAGTCAGATTAGGGTTTCTGACAGCTGAATCGTCGGAAGGTCGTAACTTTCACATACAAACTCCGTTTTTGACGTTCTTTATATGCACGCGTAGGTATTTACAAGTTCTACAACTCTCTTTTAGACTTTAATAGCTAATTCTAAGTATATTTTAAATTCATCTTACTATAGATATTTATAGTGTTCGGTTTATCATAACTTCTTTATGCGAAGTCAGATTCAGACATTCTCTATATTTTTGGAATCGTATGGACGTATACTTGGAGTTGTATCATAAAGAAAGTTAATATTTGTATTAGAATTTATCATGAACTACATAACACTCTTATTACATTACTAGTTTAACAAAATCACATTACATGATTGGCAAAATCACATGTGATTGTCTATTGACCTATTTTGACTAGTGTTACATTCTCCCCCCGTTAGAATAATTTCATCCTGAAATTTATCTTATGGATGGGGTTTTGCCAAATAGTTGAAGGGTATTTTTCTTTCATCTGATCTTCACGTTCCCAAGTAAATTCAGGTCCTCGTAAAGAGTTCCATCGAACTTTCACTATGGGAATATGACTTTGCTTTAATCGTTTGACTTCTCGATCGATGATCTCAACAGGTTCTTCTACAAAGTTGAGTTTCGTATTGACTTGTATCTCTTCGAGAGGTATAACAAGAGTGTCATCGGATAGACATCTTTTGAGGTTTGATATGTGAAAAACATCGTGCACATTACTTAGTTCTTGAGGCAACTTGAGTTGGTATGCGACAGAACCAATTCTTGCCAGAATTTCAAAAGGTCCTATATACCGTGGGTTTAGTTTGCCTCGTTTCCCGAATCGAATTACGCCTTTCCAAGGAGAGACTTTCAACATTATTTTATCTCCAACTTGGAATTATAAAGGCTTACGTCTCACGTCAGCATAGCTCTTTTGACGATCACGTGCAGCCTTTAATTGATCCTTAA